GCCCGGGGCCAGTGAGAACGGCCACTCGGGCTAGAGCAGCCCGAGAGCGCCTGATCGAGCAGAGGCAGGCACAGGTATCATTGATGGTGAAGTTTTTGAGGAAACTTTGGAGAATCCCTTTGGCGTTTTTCTAAGGTAATGACTAGATTTTGAAACAACTGCCCAGTTGCCACAAATCCTTGTGGCACCAGCTGAAAAGCCTCTACCAATTGCTGTCTTAGTTGTTGGACCTGGATATTTGTCTCGGTGCTTTGCACTATTCCAAGCATACCAGTACGTTGGGCCAACCAGTCTCGTTTTATCCTGTTTGGCCCTGCCCCTAGTTTGGGCCACCATCTGTTTGAACAATTACAGGCGGTGGTGGCATTGGGCCAATAGAAAATTGAATGGGATATAATTTTGGGCAACCCATACATCCACACATTTTCTAAAGGTATAGGAACATTCCAAGTTCATACTTCGAGAAGAGGGGAAAAAGATACATTATACCAGGCAACGTGCGATGTAAAGTTATAATACCAGTTCGTATTCTTGGAAATAGAAGATGAAGTGTTGAGGTCCCCTGAGAAGCCACATGATGGTCCAGATGAGGAAAAACAGGCACGGGTGTTAGTCTCATTGCACCACAAGGGTGCAGCTAAAGTCTCGATCGTGACGAGTGCAGTTAGGAGGGTGAGGCATAGTAGAATATCCATCCCGTGGGCACAAGAGTTATAGGTTCAGAAGTTTCTGCATGGTTAAATACCCACCAAGTGTTACCCCACCCCCTTGCTATAATTGTCCCTTCCCAATCAGTAGTATTTGGATGGGAAACCTTAACTTTTATCCCTGGCCTGAGGGTTTCTGAAAAGTGGGGTCGAGGTCTTGAGGTTGGGGGTTCCCTATCCTTAATTGCAAAGGCGAGTTCAATAGGTGAACCCAGAGGATGTGCTTGATGATTCATTAGACGGACTGCTTGATGCAGATAATCGTCCCAACAGGGCCAAGTGGAATTCGTGAACAGTTTCAAATGAGTTTTTAAGATGGAGCTGGCCTGTTCCACTATGCCATTAGCCTGGGGGTTATATATGCAATGATAAGTCCACAGAATCTGGGCCTCTTGCGTCCGTCTGGTTATCAGGTGATTCTTAAATCTGGAGCCATTGTTTCTTTGTATTTCCAGGGGCTTGGGATATGCACTAAGGAGGGCACCTAGGCCATGGATAGTGCCTCTGCAGTGCAGCGCCGAGATGCCTGAGCAAAGGTGAGTCCACTTACTACTTCAAGTGCTACTAGAACAAAACGCCTTTTAGAGTCAGTGGGCAACACGGGCCCTATGTAATCGATTTGCTAGGTATCCCAGAGCTGTTATCTTTCCTTAATATGTGGGCCCCCAAATTGAGTGGGTGCCTTCAGACACCTTTTAACTTCTTGGCACACGATGCATTGGTTTACAATATCGGTTGCCATTTGTCGGGAAATAGCTATGAGCCATTCTAGGCTGTGTTGTACTAAAGCCTGAATCCCACAATGTCCATTCTGGCAGTGAAGCCAGTTGGCTGCAACAAGTATCGGGTCCTGTAAAGGTGAAAGAGTTTCTGGCTCTATGCCAGTCTCTACTTCTGCTGCGCAAATCTTTAGACATTTGGCCAATTGGTCCACTTTGTGGTTCCACATTGCTGCCGCTGAGTGATGTGTTCCTTTCTTGTGCGAGTGGGCATCTACGTGTCCAATCTCTAAAATGATTTTCTTGTTTGCAGTGTCGTCCTAGATGTGTTTCCAGAGGTTATGATAGGATTCCCTTTCCTTTTCCAGTCTTCAGCATGCCACATGGATAGCCAAACGGTGCATCCCTGGTAGCACATCCAGGAGTCAGTATAAATTCCAGTGTGGGGAGGAGAGGTGGAGGTTGCAGTCTATTACCATTATGATGGCACATAATTCTGCATGTTGGGCACTTGCTCTGGTACCATGGCACTGGAGAGTATGTCCGTCTCTTACTCGGATGGTGGCTGCTGTCCAAGATGTTCCTGCCGCTGACCCATCTGTAAACCAGGATTCCACACTGTTTTGACCTGATTTTTCATCAAACAGTGGGGCTGGCATTACTGGTGAAGGTTGCTCTGGGGGTTGGGAGCTGGGAAACATATTTAGGCACTGTTCTGTCACTTGTTCTACCAAGGCAGGTTGTCCTCCCAGCAAACAATTTTCTACCTGGGCTAAAATGGCATAGATCCATTTCTGCACCGTGGATCCCCTAGCTCACCCGGAGGGAGGTATTACCTTTTCTGAAAGAGCATGATGGAGGATGGGGAATGGTGTAGTTAGGATGGTGGGATGATTTATCCGCAAAGCCTGGGTGGAGATAAGGGCACAGTAACCGGTTAATAAGAATTTCTCTAACAGGGTATGTCTTGGTTCTGATCCTTTCCAGCTTTCACTCCAGAACCCTATGGGAGAGGCTTGGCGCTCATCGGGCATTTGCTGCCATAGGCTCCAATGACCTCCGTTATCTGAGACTCCCAGGTGGAGAATCATCTCCCCCGCCTTCCCTAATGGGGGCTAACCTTGCATGCATTAAAACAGCTTGTATGAGAGCTTGAAGTGCCAGGCGTTATTCTTCACCCCTATCCCACTTGGCTCTTTTCTTGCATAGGTTATATAGAGGTCTGGCTAGGGTGCTGTACTCCGGGATGTGTAATCTCCAAAAATTTAAGATACCTAGTATGCTTTGCAGTTCCTTTACATTTTGGGGTGGGCTAGCATTTGCCATTCGATCAATTTCTGATTGGGGAATTTGATTCCCTTCTGCTGACCAGATGACCCCCAGAAATTGGCATTTGGTATCAGGGGCCTGGGTCTTGGAGTCGTTGATAATAAATCTAGCGTTTTTGATGGCATTTATTAGATCTTGGAGGCATGCCTTAACTGCCTCACGAGTTTTCCCCCCCACCATGACATCATCAATATAGTGGTAGCAGTGGGTGTTAGGATGCTGCGCTTCCATGTTTTTCATGATCGGTGCCAGCGTGCAGTGCGCATAGGTGGGGCTGTGACACCACCCCTGGGGAAGAACACAGAATTGAAACTCTTCCCCACCCCAAGTAAAAGCAAAATATTTCCTGGATTCTGGGTCAATGGGAATAGAGAAGAACATGTCTTTGAGATCAATACAAGCCATCCATGACGGGGCATCAGTTCGGATGCGGCTGCATACGTCGGATATGCTGGGCACGGACGTGTGGATGGGGTTGGTGTGTGCATTCAGGCCTCTGAAATCGACCGTCATTTGCCATCGTCCATCAGGTTTCCAAACTGGCCATACAGGGCTGTTAGCCGCAGAATGACATCACTCAATTGTCCCGTCTTCCAGGAGCTGTCGAATCAACTCGGTGATGGGTTTAGTGGCTGTGGGAGGGGTTCGATATTGCAGGAGATGAACCATTTGCATTTGTGGCAGAGATAGAGGTGGAAGGTTACAAGTAGCTATATTGCACTGGGCTTCTAGACCATCTGGGGCAGGAAAATTTGCCATGTTTTGTTCAAAAACCCACATCTCATGGCCTATCCGAAATCTCTGGCCTCAAATAGTGGGAAGACCCAGTAGGCTCAGGCCTCCGGGAAGAACTACCACAGGCATGGAATAAATGGAGCTACTTCCTGGGACCTGGAGCTTGGCTTGTACTAAAGTTCCTTGTTTCTTACTTCTGCCTACTCCTTGCAAATGGAAAGGGGTGCCTCTTGCCTCGGGGAAGTCTTTTTTGTCTAAAATGGTTACTTGTGCCCCTGTATCGAGTAACATCCTAACCGTCTTTAAGACACCTCCCACTGAAACCCTCATGTCGAGATGGACTAACGTAGAGGGGGCCTTTGGTTGCAATCCGCCCCCTTTCACCGCCAGCGCGATCACCTGACACTTGCGAGGAGGTCAGCAAGAACCTTCAGACTGTTGGGGAAGGTGATGAAATGGAAGGGCCACCACCCTTAGCTTTGCTTGTAGGCAAGTTCAGATAAAGGCCCCTTAGGACTGTCGTGGGGACTCCATCCAGCTGTTCTTTGGTGAAACCGTTCCCCAACAAAGTTCGCCACATTACACTCCGCGATGGTCCCTGTGCATTGGAGGACCTTGGCCCAGGGGGCGGTAGTTTGGTGACATTGGAAGTTCTACCGCCAGGGTCGATACTGGCTGCATGAACTGGGTTCGGGGCTTTTCGAGAGGATCCTTCTCCCAAGGAGTCCACTAAGGGCAGAATTTCCATTACTACCTTTTCCACTTCTGGGGGAGTCAGTCCTATGGTGGTTCAAGCCAGGGTCAACAGAACAGCTCTATAGCGCAGCGACGCCCTCCGACAAAACTGCCTCCACATTGGGCCAGTGAATTGAATACTCTTGGGCTTGACCATCCACTGGGTGGTACAAATCAGCTCTCAGATACTCAGCTGCCACAAACAGGAAGACATCTGGTCTGAATCAGCCCATTCTGGGTTGGGAGCTTCCTCCCAGTCCTGATATTGTATGCCATAGGCCTGTATGCAGGCCTCTGCCAGGGAGGTTCCTCCCAGCTGGATATGGGGTCTGAGGGGAAGTCCTGGTTCTAAGGTTATGAGGTTGCCCTCATGGGGGGCCAGAAGTATGTTATCTCCCCTGTCCCAACAGACTCGGGCAAGCCAGGCCAAATGTCCCTCTTTGGAGTTTTTCCTATACTGTTCCGTTATGTCATGGATGTCCGTGCGAGTAAAAGAAGTTAATTGCATCAAGGTCTGTCTGCCCTGTGCTACTCAGGTGGAAACTACCGGACAGGCCAACGGACTAGGGTTGTCTTCTGAATGGAGTGGATCAGGGGCATATGGTGGAGGTGGCGCGGTGGTCTCCGAGTTGCCGTCCTCCCCATCTCCTCCCATAGACCAAACATCGATCTCTGTCTGTAGAGACATTGCCACACCCTTTTGGGCTCAGGGTCTTTCGTTTTGGCGCGATTGGTTGCATGCTGCAGCGCGGCTCGGGCCCTCACCACTAGTGCTTGGGCCTGTTGTCCTTCTAGTGCCTCTAACTTCTCCTGGGCTAACCCAGCAGTTGCCGCAGCTACCCTTGCCCGATCGTTTGCTTCTTGCAGCGGCTCTCGCAACCGTTCATTTTCAAGTTCTAAGTCAATCCTCTTACGCTCCGACTCCTGATATGCCTCTGCCCCTAATTTTACACAGGTGGCTAGCAACCAGGACAATGCTCCCTTCTTGGGGCCTCTTTTCTTCCCGCAACTAGCAGACAGTCGGTCCCACTGATTCTTAATTTCCCTGGGGTCGTTCTACCGGGGCCTCAGAAACTCCTTATCCCATCCAGGGTTCTTAACCTGACCTACGTTTTCCAAAAGGACAGCTAGCACTGAGCATTCTGAATCCTTCTGCATGTCCACTCCCGGAAATCCTGTTCATGACGCCAATTTAATGTTGTGGCCTGATAACAGTCAGCCAGATCTGAGAGAAGTTTCTAGAGATTTCTGGGTTAGATCGTGGAGAAGGTTTATTTAAACAACCGTGTTTAACAACAAAGGGATGGTTACAAATAACAATAAAACACAAAATGTGACTATAACTTACAATAACACCACAAACATAAACATATATCAATGGCACTTATTGGTCAGAGCCGGTTGCCAAGTGTGCATGCTTTCTGTCCAATTAGGCTTTGTTAGCCTCGCACAAGTCAGGCATCCCCGAGTTTGTGAGCTGACTCTGGCCGGTAAAGTGTGGTCCAGTGCGATCCTCATTGTGACCTCAGTCTCTGACTGATTGAGTCAAAGATGATGGCCCCAGTGTCGATCTCGAACATCTCCACCGCTGTTTGGGTGCGCTGAGACTTTATACTGTTGGCTGAGCCACTCACAATCTTAGGTTTTGAAGCATGCCCTTATTTGGAAGATGCCGTCCCTTATGGATACAAGCCTCAGAAAGCGCACATCATCTCTTAGGAGAAAATGCATAGTCGTTTACCTGAAAGACTGAGCTATGGAAATTCCCATGGAAATTCCCCAAACCCCACTGGGAATTCCCCCACAGAAGATTCCTAATTAGATGATAGAATATTGTTCTTGGTTGACATTTAAGAATGTTAAATGAATGTTTCTGGGGGCTGTATAAGGGCTATATAAGATAAAAGACAGGTTGCTTTTATGTTATGGCATTATGTTTTGATGTTTAATTACCTGAAAGCATGCAAAACTGCATTTTAACTCAAGCTGCCACATTACCCCTTTATTTTTCTTATTCTTTACCTTTTTTCTTATCTTAAATTAAGTACACTGATGACTTTCCTTTCTTATTTTAACTAAATGAATCAGGAATGTTGCTTCAATTAAAAAATATCAAAAAAGAAGGAATGCACATTCTGTTTATTTGAAAATGTGTCATCAAAGTAAATTGTGATATTTTGCCTGTATTTAACTATTTTGACACACAGACTCTTTCAACTAGTATTATGTAGGTTTTTTTTTTCCTGCACGCTATTGGCAAGCAAAGCAAACAAAATTCAGATCCTTCCCATCACTTCTGCAAGGTATTCTGAAATTATGGTCATGAGAACATCATAAGAATGTAAGAATATAAGAATTGGGAGCAATCAATATCTACCAAGATCAAGTTCTAAATTAGCCATGCCATAGAGAGGTAATGTTGGTTGGTAAAAATAAGTTTAAGCATTCCACCTAATGTTTCCTGAATAAGGCTACCCATATGGCTAGATCAGAAAGAATTGCATTTAATAACAGCAGACCGCTGTGATTCATTGATGCTTTTTTGAGTAGCTAGTTGTCAGGAGAGGTAGGCATGTTCAAACTAGCTGAAAAAGCAAGGTGCCTAATATCTATTTGAATATTCACAGGTTGTCAGTGCCCAGATCTCTTGGGCATAGTTGTTACTCTTGTTCAATAGTTCAGGGCAGTGGTTCTTAACCTTTTTAGATGCAAGGCATTCCTCATCAGTCTCGAGGCATCCCTCCATAACTTTTGTGAATGGAGCAGCATCCCACTTCAAAAACTAATGTATTTATTATCATGTTTACCTCCTGGCAGAGCAGCCAGGCTGGGAGGAGCCTAGGCATGTACTTATTTGCTTCTCTCCTGGCACCTGCCTTATCTTCTCATATGTCACTGCACCCTTTAAAGGATCTTGTGACACCCCAGGGTTCCCTGGCACCCTGGTTGAGAAACACTGGCTTAAGGGGTGTTTAAATTAGTAAAAAATGTACATATTCATACATTTGGTGCTGAAACAGTTGCACAACCAACATATATAGGATGTATTGAAAATGCTATAATTAACTAGAATTAACAAACCTGCCATTCTTAATTGTAAGAAACGGTAATTCTGCAACTCTTCAGAAAAAGGATCTGGGGTGTTACTGAGTGAAGGCTTATCTCTTGTTTTGTGTAAGAACAAGGGAAGAACAATGAAGTAATTGCATTTGAGGTTTCAGTTCAATTTTTGTTATGAATACTACATCTTGCACAATGGAAACAGGAGAACAGTGAAGCCGGAAGTAAACTTCTCCAACAGTTAGCATTTGGTTTACTGTGATGTTGGTAAGTGCATGTTATAAGACTCTTAGTAATCAGAACTCTTGGGGAGGTGATATCTTTTATTAGACCACTAGATAGTTGCAAAAAATGTCTTTATTTGGAAGCTTTCAGGCACACGTGCCTTTCCTCAAGCATAGGAGAGTGCAAAGATTGTAAAATTTTTCCCAGGTAGAAATGCAAATTAATATTTTACAGGAGAGCTGAAAGGTGATGTAGGATCTCTTGGTTGGAAAAGTTAATTTTATGCAAAATAGGCTCAGGTAAAATTTGGAGCAATCTATTTACCTCAAAGTCTGATGGCAAGCAGGAGTTTAATTATGCTTCTGTGTTGTTACGGTGTTTCATATTTCACAGGAGGATGGATGCTGGAAGGCTCTCCTGGGCAAGGAATTTCTCTTGTGTTGTGGCTGCCCCGTGAGCATACAAACTTGGCTTGAAACAAAAAGCTGGAGCAAGGGTGTCAGCTTTCAGGTTTCAAGATGTTGAATTTTGCTTCCTTTTTGTAAAATTATGAAGATATCATTTCAAAATTACTAATTTGGATACTTTCCATATTTCAGGGATACAGGTTGTAGCCATGCTGGTCGGCAGGCGAAAGTAATCATAACTCTTGGGCAGGTGACACCTTTTATTAGACCAACTAGATAGTTGCAACATAATTTCTTTATTTGCAAGCTTTCAGGCACACCCACTCATCCTCAGATTGACTGTACTGAATGCTTAACTACTGGCTAAAGGGATTTTGTTTTATAATTGCAATGCCTGTGAACCATAACATGTCATTTGTATGGTACTCTCTGATACTCTAAAGTTTGTATTCCAAGTCTAGCATTCTGAAGTAACAGAATTATTCATTCTAATAAAAATTAAACCAGTGTTTTAATTCCAGGGAATTATTTTAATTTAATGTTACAGTGCTAAATTATGTTAAATAAGCAAAAAAAGTAATAAGTGTCTTACATTTCAGCAACTTTGGATTCATAAAAACAAATCTGTCTCTAATCTAGAACAAAACAAGAAATCAGTATCTTGTGGTCAAACATTCAAATGCAACTAAATGACAGTTGTTCCTGTTTTTATTGGACTGTAAGTACTTGGCTGTTTTCTTGAAAATAATGCTGCTGTTATGTCTGTCTTCCAACTGAAATTAGACTGTCTCTTTTAATCTTTCTTAGACTGATGGGGTAGAGAACTGACTACATTATGAAGAGGGCAAGCTTTGTCTTGAAGTAGCTAATAAATTTACTCAGTCTTACAACTTATAGTTTAGACCAACTTGTCTGTCTGGAATTACTGCAACATGACACATCATGAACTAATGAAATAAACCCTGTTCTTAAACTTCAGAAACACTTTAAAAACCTTCTTGCATGAACTATATGTTCATGAATCTAGGTCTGTTTTTGAT